TTGGTGCGCGCGTGTGTGCACGCACACGTGTGTGTGCTGATCCTGGAGCTTGACTCTGGGCACTATCCTTGAGCTTTTTCTGCTCAAGCCTGGTGCTCTACTACCACACCTCAGCTTCTGTATTCTTGCTGGCTTGCTGGAGATAGAAGTCTCATGGAAAGCTGGGTGCTCATGCCTGGGAAAGCTCATGCCTGTAATCTTACCCACTCAGGAGGCTGAGATCGGAGGATCACAGTTGGAAGCCAGCCCAGGCAGGAAAGTCCCCACAAGACTCATCTCCAATTAATCACAGTAAACGTTGGAAGTGGCGCTGTGGCTCAAACTGTAAAGTGCCAGCCTTGAGCTCAAAGCTCAGGGACTGCACCCAGACTCGGAGTTCAAGCCCCAGGACTGGCAAAAAAAAAAAAAAAAGTCTCACAGAATTTCCTGCCTAGGCTGGCATAGCCTTCAGCTCTCAGCCTCCTGAGTAGTTCAGATCTCAGCCTCCTGAGTAGTCAGGATTCTAGGTGTGAGCTACTGGTGCCTGGCCTGAAGACTTACCACCAATCACTACAAGGTACAGGGTCAGCGATGCTAGGTTCGCAACGTTGTCCAGTTATCTGCTGTCTAGTGTCAATGCTGGTCACTGTCCCTGGGGACCCCAGGCCCACTAGCTGCAACTTGTCAGGGACCAGTGATGCCAAGACTCGGTGGTACCAAGAAATGCACTACTCAGTGTCCCGGGGGGGCAGTGACATCCCCATAGCCCCAGAAATACAGAACATCTCAATATTTGCCCCTAACAAACAGTCGGGGTGGATGACCTGCCCTGCCCAGGTGACACTTGTGGCTGACGGTGGCAGGGCTGCGCAGCCGTTTCCTGTTGGAAATGTCCATTGAGCTCAGCCGCCCCCCGCGCCCCGCTCCCTCCCCCCCGGCCACCGGCGGGCAGGGGCGAGCAGGATTGGCTTGTGCAAAGACCTTTGACTCTAGGATGTGAGATTGACAGTGTGTCACTTTCTAGAAAATCATTGTTGCTTTTACGTTACCAGTAAGAGTCGGGCTTTCCTATTGACACAGGTTCTGACCTAGCGGGCATCTTTCTGGTCACCGTCTGCTCTGTCACAGAACACGTGGCAGGGACTGGGGAGGTCTTGGTCCCCCTCCTTCCCTCTCTCCTTCCCTCCTTCCCTCCCTCTTTCCCTCCCTCCCTCCTTCCTCTCTCCTTCCCTTTTTCCTTCCCTTCTTCCCTTTCCTCTCTCCGTCCCTTTCTTCCTTCCTCCTTCCTATCCTAGCTACCCTGTAGCCAGGATTACAGGCATGAGCCACCAGCACTGGCCAGGAAAATATTTCTTGGGTGCTCAGCACTATGGTGTGCAGGGCCGAGGGCAGGCCAGTGAGCAGAGCCTTTGCTCGGACAGGTGAGTGCCACCGTTTCCTTCTCCAGGGTCTTTCCCTGCCATGGGTTGTATTTGCCGGTCAATGTCCAGTTTTCCCCAGAAGGCTTGTGAGGGTCTGTGCAGACGTGCGCAGGCACACCACCCTGCCCTGCCCGGGAAGCGGCGGCCCGGGGGACGGAGAGGCGCCGAGACCCACGTGCATTGTCCCCACTGTCATGGAGAACAGCCTTGGAGCCTCCAGGACAGACAGATGGGGCACAGGGTGTCGTCCTCTAGGGATAGGGGAACTTCGCCCCCACAACTGTCTGTGTCCTCAAAACTCTACCGCCTATTTGTCTCATTTCTTCCAGAGAACTCTGCACTTGGAGTAAGTCTGCAGCCCAGTATTTGCTTTTTTACCACCCCTGCCCCCCTTCCAGGTATAGGGAATTGAACTTGAACTATGTCTCCAGTCCTTTTTGCTTTTATTTATTTATTTTTAGATAAGGCCTCCATCTAGGATTGAGGCCAGGATTGACCTTGGGCTGAGATCTTCCTGTCACTGCCTCTGGAGTGGCTGCACTTACAGGTGTGCGCCACCAGGCCTGGCTCTTTCTAACACTGTGGTAAGGATGGCTGCGGGGAGCTGTGCCATCCTTCCACACCAGTTAGGTGGCAGATTGTAGAAAGGTCCATGTGACCCCCGGCCTGTGTTTGAATACAGCTGGCCTTTTCCCTCCCTGAAGATGCATGACAAAAAAATACTTGGAGTTTATGTGGAGCTCTCAAAACTCCAGCCAAGCTCTAAACTGCCTGTTTTGCTCTCGATCTGTATAACCTCCCGGGCAAATCAACTGGTGAACGCACTGTGGGCTGAAGTGTGGGTGGTGATGCACACTTTGTGCTTTCACCCACGCCAGAGGCCGAGAGGACCTGAGATCCGTGTGTGCTCTCACACCACACCATTTACATCCAGTTGATGGTGCCGCTGGGGGGAGAATGCCAGCCGCCCACGAGACCTGACCCACAAGGAACGCGGCGCCCCCTACTGCACATCAGTTGAAGAACATCCTCTGGATGGAACCCAGCCCAGGCCGCAGCCCAGGGCGGTGGAGGTGGCCAGCACCAGGTCCACGCTGCAGCGTGAGCCAGACCCTCTGGTCCCAGTGCTGGGCCTGGGACAGGCTGGGAAGGCCCTGGATGGCCCTTCTCCTGCCTCGAATCTCCTGCCACTCTGTGGACCCTTCCATGGCTCAGCCAGCAGGTGGCCCTGGTCCTGGGCCTGAGCTGGAAATGTCTGGAGCTGTCTCCTGACTTCTCACCCAGTACTCCCTCGGCCCCGGCCAGCAGGCTGGGTGGTTATTAAATTAGACTGAAGGTCTGGTGGCTTGCTAAGCAAATTCTTTACAACTGTTATAAAGGTCTCGGTGCTTAAGTGCAATCTCCCAGAGCCGCCAAGCACCCCCCCCCAAAAAAAAAACACTCAGACTTGCAAGGAAAGCGAAAAGTGTCCTATCACCTCTAGGGACAGCTATGTGTAGGCTGATACTTCTGGGGTGGGGGGAGGGGACGGTGTGTAACAAGGAAGTTTCTAGAAGAGGTAATGCTATAGTATATGGAGTGAGGTGGTGTTCTAGGGCCCAGCTTGCCTAAGCTCATCTCTTCTCTCTGGACCCCACCAGCCAGCCAGGAGGGGCTACTTGATCTCTGCCTCGGTTTCCTAGTCTGGACATGGGGATGCCCTTTGCTCTCCTGCAGTCAGGGCCCTGTCCCTGGGGTTTGTTGCTCAAGACTGGTGTTCTGCCACTGGAGCCACACCTCCACTACTCCTGGCTTTTTGGTGGTTAACTGATGATAAGAGTTGCAGGACAGACACAGAGTGTCTTTTCCTTTTTTTGTCAGTCGTGGGGCCTGAACTCTGGGCCTGGGCGCTGTCCCTCAGCTCTTCAGCTCAAGGCTAGCGCTCTACCACTTGAGCCACAGCGCCACTTCCGGATTTTTTCTTTTTTCTTATGTGGTGCTGAGGAGTCGAACCCAGGGCCTCATGCATGCTAGGCAAGCGCTCTACCACTGAGCCACCTTCCCAGCCCCCAGAATGTCTAGTCTTAAGCAAATGCAGGTTTTAGAGAACGGAATCCTTGTAGGACAAGCTCGATGGAGAGGCCGGCTTTCCGTCAGCACAGGAGCTGACCCAGGAGCCCCTTCCGCGGGCCTGACCTGCTGAGACCCCAGCAGGAGGATGGGCAGGGCACCCACACAGGATTCCGGTCCTGGCTCCTGAGAGAAAGCCTGGACTTTTGCGACCTGGGCCCACCTTTCTTCCCGTCTACAGAAGAGGTCTAATTCTAAGACAATAAATATGACACACAGGAGACATAGGCACTTCAGAAGCCAGAACACCCATGTTCGGAAAGGGCTAGAAGAAAGGCTCAGCCAGATGCAGGCTTCCCATCAGCCCTGGCGGCCTTGGGGCGGGGCCTCCAAGGGGAAGGCGTCCTCTCCCCCTTTTCAGCCTCCTGCTGCCACCTGTGGATAAGGTTGTGGGGAAAGCCCTAAGACGCAGCAACACTGCATGGAAAGAGTCCCCCCAATTTTTGTGCCAGTCCTGTGGCTTGAACTCATGGATTTTCTTGCCTAGGCTGGCCTTGGACTGTAGTCCTCAGATTTCAGTCTCCTGAATAGTTAGTATTATAGACATGAACCTACCAGTGCCTGGTTGGTCCATCACTCTGTGTGTGTGTGTGTGTGTGTGTGTGTGTGTGTGAGCGCTGGTCCTGGGGTTTGAACTCAGGGCCTGGGCATTTTCCCTGAGCCTTTGTGCCCAAACTTTTTTTGTGCTCAACTTTTGTGCTAGCACTCTACCACCTGAGCCATAGCTTCACTTCTGGCCTTTTGATGTTTAATTGGAGATAAGAGTTTCATAGACTTTCCTGTCTGAGCTGGCTTCCAACAGTGATCCTTAGACTTCCTGAGCGGCTGGGTTTACAGGGGTGAGCCACTGATGCCAGCCTGGTTCACCACGTTGTATCCCCATCTACCTGACAGTTCCTCTTTCTCTCTCTCAGAACAATGGACGTAGACATTTGCCTTATGGAATCTATATCTGGGAGTGTCAGGGCACTCGGTCAGGCCCCAGTCCCCAGTAAGCTCAGATGGTGCCAAGCTCTGCCAGTGAGGCACCCACGTGCAGAATTACGGTATGCTATTCTTCTCGTGAACTTTGACTATGGAGTGACACCTCATAAGTAGTGTTTTGACAACCAGGAGCCACTGGCACACAAAGTGTGCTGCCAGCAGCACATGAACCCCTGGGGGTGCCCTGGCCAGCCTTGTCCTTGACCCCTTCCTGCCTGTCAAGGAAAGGGTGTGTGTTTTGCATCAGCACCGAATGGGGTCAAAGTTTAGTCAATAGACGTTGTGTAAGGACTCACCATGGCGGCCACAGAGGTCTGGAGGCCTCCGAACACTCATTAACAAGTTTTCTGTTCAATCATTATCTCCCCGCAGTTTACTGTGGCAAGTTTGTCCAAAACATCACTGACCGGGGCTGGGATCCAAAGACCTGCCCCTGACGTCAGGGTCGAGCCTCCCGTGCTGCAGAGGGCAGGGCTGTCCCTCCTCACAGTACTTAAAGCCTGGGCTCTGCCTCCCAGGACGGCCGGCCCACTGGGAACATCCCTGGCAGGGGACAGAAAGGGCCGCCTGCGCTTGGACCTCTGATCCAGACCCTCCAAAGGATCAAAGGTGAGTCTTCTCTTTCCAGTCACCTTCTGAAATAACACAGATGCCACAAACTCACTTTTTTTTTCTTCCTTAGCAAATAACTCTCCAAGCAGCTGGTGGGATGGGCTGGAAGGTGTTTGTGTGCACGTGTGACCAGGAAGCTCCCGCTTTCTGTTCCAGGTGACGTTGGTGACCGTGCCCAGCAGCACCTTGGTAGCAATGGCTCCTCAGCTGCATAACCGTGTGGACTTATCCGCCAAGGTCGTCCAAGGCGCCCTGGACAGCCTGCCCCGGGCCGTGAGGGAGTTTGTGGAGAGCAACGGGCAGCTGTGTGAGCCGGACTACATCCATATCTGCGATGGCTCCGAGGAGGAGAACCAGCGGCTGCTGGGCCGCATGCAGGAAGAGGGCATCATCAAGAAGCTCCGCAAGTATCACAACTGGTGAGTACCCCTCCGGTCCCAGCCTCTCCTTGGCATCCTTGGTGGGGAGCGGCCAATGAGGAGAAGCTACCGAGCACCCCAAAACACTTAAGAACCCATCAGAGCCCCAGAGACTCATGATGCTAGCAGAGCCGCCCAGGCCCTAAGTGAGAAGCTCTTTGCAAATTAGACTCCTGATACTACTGTCAGTGTAGTCTATCTGGCCACGTTCTAGTTGCTGTGACTTCACCCTTCGGGTCACCGCCATGCCGGACGGTGATGAGGAGCCAGCCAGGTGTCTTCGTGACGCTTGGCTCACGGGAATCGCATGACTTTTGCAGCTGGTTGGCTCTCACGGACCCCAGGGATGTGGCCAGGATCGAAAGCAAGACCGTGATCATTACCCAAGAGCAAAGGGACACAGTGCCCATCCCCAAGACCGGCCTCAGCCAGCTGGGCCGCTGGATGTCAGAAGAGGACTTCGAGAAAGCGTTCAATGCCAGGTTCCCTGGGTGCATGAAGGGTGAGTACCCGTCAGCCTCCGGGACAGGACGGCGAACTGTCCCTGTGACTCTTCCTCAAGGTCTTGGTCACAGGAAGGAAGCTCGCTGGCTCAGCCTCTGTTCCAAATTTAAAAAACAAACCAACGAGCACCCATTTACGCATGCGCACATCCTGCCACCCAATTGCCGAGTTCTGCGCATGTGCAGGCCTAGCTGCCCAGTGGCTCTGTTCTGCGCACGTGTGTTTCCAGTAGCCCCGAGCTGAGTTCTACGCATGCGCGCTCACAATACCCAATTGTGTGTTTCTAAAAACACCTTAATTTTCGAAGTCTGGGGCTGAGAAAATCGGTGACGGTGGAGGTGGGGGGTGAACGTGGCCCCGGGTGACGTCAGGGTGGGGGGTGAACGTGGCCCTGGGTGACGTCAGGGTGGGGGGTGAACGTGGCCCTGGGTGACGTCAGGGTGGGGGTGAACGTGGCCCTGGGTGACGTCAGGGTGGGGGTGAACGTGGCCCTGGGTGACGTCAGGGTGGGGGTGAACGTGGCCCTGGGTGACGTCGCGGTTGGACGTGAGCGCGCGCCCCGGGTGACGTGAGGCGGGGGCGTGAGCGCGCTGACGTCACAGGCGCGCTGACGTGCCCTCCGCCCGCCGCGCAGGTCGCACCATGTACGTGATCCCGTTCAGCATGGGCCCGCTGGGCTCGCCGCTGGCCAAGGTGGGCATCGAGCTGACGGACTCGCCCTACGTGGTGGCCAGCATGCGGGTCATGACGCGCATGGGCACGGCCGTGCTGCAGGCCCTGGGCGACGGGGAGTTCGTCAAGTGCCTGCACTCCGTGGGCTGCCCGCTGCCCCTCAAAAGTACGTGCGCCCTTGAGCCCCAAGTTCAGGCCGCGGAGGTGGCCGTGAGAGAGCCGGGACGCGGGGTGCTGGGGTGCGGTGCTGGGACGCGGGGTGCCGGGACGCGGCGTGCCGGGGTGCGGTGCCGGGGTGCGGTGCCAGGGTGCCGGGATGCGGGGTGCCGGGGTGCCGGGACGTGGGGTGCCGGGGTGAGGTGCCAGGTGCGGGTGCTGGGGTGCTCAGGGTGCCGGGGTGCTGGGTGCTGGAGTGTGGGTGCCGGGGTGCGGTGCCAGGGTGCCGGGATGCGGGGTGCCGGGGTGCTGGGGTGCTGGGTGCTGGAGTGTGGGTGCCGGGGTGCGGTGCCGGGGTGCGGGTGCTGGGGTGCTCACGGTGCCGGGGTACCGGGTGCCAGGTGCTGGGATACCGGGGTGCTGGGGTGCTCAGGGTGCCGGGGTGCGGGTGCCGGGTGCTGGGATTCCGGGGTGCTGGGGTGCTCAGGGTGCCGGGGTGCGGGTGCCCGGGTGGCGCGGGGCGGGGCCGCACTCACGGCCGCTCGCTCTCTCGCTCACTCGCAGGGCCCCTGGTCAACAACTGGGCCTGCAACCCGGAGCTCACGCTCATCGCCCACCTCCCGGACCGCAGAGAGATCGTCTCCTTCGGGAGCGGCTACGGCGGGAACTCGCTGCTGGGGAAGAAGTGCTTCGCCCTCAGGATGGCCAGCAGGCTGGCCAAGGAGGAGGGCTGGCTGGCCGAGCACATGCTGGTGAGCGTCGGACCGGACCCCCCTACCCCCCTCCCCCTCCTCCAGAGTTCCTCACGGCCCTTCCTTCCTTCCTTCCTTCCTTCCTTCCTTCCTTCCTTCCTTCCTTCCTTCCTTCCTTCCTTCCCTCCCTCCCCCTTTCCCTCCCCCTCTCCCTCCCTGCTTCCTATATCAATACAGCTTTAAATCTTTCTTTGAATTGTTTTTGGACTTTATTTCTCTTAATCTTTTGTTTTATTTTGTTGTTTTGCCAATATCAGGCCTTGAACTCAGAGCCTGGCACTCTGACCTGACTTGCTTGCTTAGCTGGCATTCTATCACTTGAGCTTCCAGCCCATCTTTTTGCTGGCTGTTTTGGAGAAAGATGATCACACTTTTCTGCCCAGGCTGGCTTAGACCTATAATCTTCCCATCTCAGCCTCCTGAGTAGCTAGGATTTCAGGTGTGAGCCTGCTCGCACTTGGCTTAACACATCTGCATCCTAGGGAAAATTCGAGTGACAGTTTCATATCCAGGAAGGAACAAAGGCCGTAACAATGAGCCTTGTCTCGGCAGATCCTGGGTATCACGAACCCTGCGGGTGAGAAGAAGTACCTGGCAGCAGCCTTCCCCAGTGCCTGCGGGAAGACCAACCTGGCCATGATGAACCCCACGCTCCCCGGGTGGAAAGTAGAGTGTGTGGGCGACGACATTGCCTGGATGAAGTTCGACAGCCAAGGTGACTCTGGGTGCAAGCTAGGGTTCCCTGGAGGTCAGCAGTTCTCACAGCTCACGGGGCGGGTGTTGAACCGGTCCAGACTCTGTAGGAGCCTTAGGAATGTGGTGGCCTCTGTTAGACACCTGGGCTGCGGTGTGTTCACACACTGACACTTGTGAAAACAGTATGGGGGGGGCACTGAAGAGGAGGTGAAGAGTTGTTGCTTGGGTGAAAACGAGGCTGATGTATAGTCTCAGGGAGGAAAGCCTGACTTGAGAATTTGACGTAAGTCTTAGTGCAGCACAATGTAAAAAATTACATGGGGGGAGGCAGAGATAGGAGATTGTGGTCCAAAGCCAAAGGCAAAGTTAATGAGAACTATTGCACCAAAAAGGGGTGGGGGTTGGGCAGGTGGCTCAGTGGTGGAGGGCTTGCCTAGCATGCATGAGGCCCTGGGTTTGATGCCTCAGTACCACATACACAGAAAAAGCCGGAAGCGGTGCTGTGGCTAAAATAGTAGACAGCTAGCCTTGAGCAAAAGAAGCTCAGGGACAGTGCCCAGGCCCTGAGTTCAAGCCTCAGGACTGGAAAAAAAAAAAAAAGCTGGTTGTGCTGGTACACAGCTGTAATTGTAGCTTGTCCTGGAAGCTGAGATCTGAGGATCATCGTGCACAGCCAGTCAAGGCTTCTTGTAAGAGTCTTATCTCTAATTAAGATTCTTATTTCTGATTAACCAACAAAGGACTCACAGTGCTTTGCTTGGCATTCATTGCTTCTCTGTTTCACTACTTTCCAGGTAACTTAAGGGCTATCAACCCAGAAAATGGTTTCTTTGGGGTGGCTCCTGGCACCTCTGGAAAGACAAACCCCAATGCCATGAAGACCATCCAGAGAAACACCATATTCACCAATGTGGCGGAGACCAGTGATGGAGGCGTCTACTGGGAAGGCATGGACGAGCCTCTGGCCCCAGGGGTCACCATCACGTCCTGGAAGAACAGGGAGTGGACACCACAGGATGGTGAGCCCCTGAGGCCCGGGAGCGGGGGGGGGGGAGGGAGGGCCCGGCAGGATCCTGGTCCTGGAGTTTATGGGCTGGGCTGGGCTGTGAGGGCCTGCTATGCCCAGACACCAACACCAACACTCCCCCCTCTCTCTAGGGGAGCCCTGTGCCCACCCCAACTCGCGGTTCTGCACCCCTGCCAGCCAGTGCCCCATCATTGACCCTGCCTGGGAGTCTCCGGAAGGTGTGCCTATCGAGGGCATCATCTTTGGCGGCCGCAGACCTGCTGGTGAGGCCCCTCTCTGCTCAGACGGCGCGCTGCTGGGGTGGCCAGTGGGGTGTAAAATCTCTCTTCTTCTGTGACCTAGTCAGGGGTGCCAAAGGCCTTCCTTTCCCCGAGTCTAGACTCCCAGGCAAGCTCGAGCGTACAACTGATCCCTGTGGTCGCATATCCTTTTTGGGTCTGTGATCGAGGGGAGCTCGGAGCAGTTCTGCTGTTCACTCGGGGACCTTGGAGGACCCCGGTGGCATTCCTTTGACTTACCAGTTCTCTCCGTGTTAGCTTTGCATATGAAAAACCAGCTCAGTTTAAAAGATGCTGCTGGCGGGGCATGGTGGCACATGCCCGAGACCGCAGGACTTGGAATACTAAGGCAGGAGGACCGAGAGTTCTAAATAACAAGACTGTGGTCTACAGAATGGTTTAGAGCTGCTGCTTGGCTGTGTCTTTTCCTATGTGAAATGGTGCCACTGGTCAGGGAGTGTGTGTCAGGTGCTTAGAGAAGCGGACACGAGCGCTTCACACCTGTCATCCAGCTACTCAGCTCGAGGTCCTGGTTCAAAGCCAGCCAAGACAAAGACAAAACCAGCAAAAAGTCAGAACTGGAGGTGTGGCTGAAATGGTAGAGTGCCCTCCTGGACAAAAATGCTCAGGGACAACACCCAGGTCCTGACTTCCTGGGTGGTATTAACACCCAGCCTAAACCAACTGCCTCTTCTTTTATCCTGCTTCATCAAGGGGTGCCTCTCGTCTACGAAGCTCTCAGCTGGCAGCATGGGGTGTTTGTGGGCGCTGCCATGAGGTCAGAGGCCACAGCGGCTGCAGAACACAAAGGTAAAGTCAGGTTCTCTTGGGCTCTGCCTCTGTGTGTGTGTGTGTGTGTGTGTGTGTGTGTGTGTGTGTGTGTAGAGAGAGAGAGAGAGAGAGACCCAGGCTTGCTTAGCTCAGCAGTCAATGAAGGCCGCTGTTGCCCGTGGGCACAAGGCACATGGCTGCGTCTGCCTCTGTTTGACAGGCAAGGTCATCATGCACGACCCCTTTGCCATGCGGCCCTTCTTCGGCTACAACTTTGGCAAATACCTGACCCACTGGCTGAGCATGGCCCACCGCCCGGCAGCCAGGCTGCCCAAGATCTTCCATGTCAACTGGTTCCGGAAGGACAAGGAAGGGAAGTTCCTGTGGCCTGGCTTCGGGGAGAACAGCAGGGTTCTGGAGTGGATGTTCAACCGAATCAACGGGGAGGACAGCGCCCGGCTCACGCCCATCGGCTACATCCCCAAGCAGGACGCCCTGAACCTGAAAGGCTTGGGGAATGTCAACGTGGAGGAACTCTTTAGCATCTCCAAGGAGTTCTGGGAGAAGGAAGTGGAAGATGTGGAGAAATACCTGGAAGATCAAGTCAATGCCGATCTGCCGTATGAAATAGAGAGAGAGGTCCTGTCTCTGAAGCAACGAATCAGCCAGATGTAACGGGGAGTGTGTGTGTGTGTTGGGGGGGTCTGTAGAACCAGCCCCTGCCCATCAGAGGATGTATCGGCAGCCAGAGGCAGCCCTTCTTCCCAAATCCACAGTAGCCAGCCAGCACACTGGGAGCTGATCATTCACACCGTGATTAGGTGAGAGGTGCACAGGACAGGCCGCTAGCTGTAGATAGTAGGAGAAGAATCTTAGGGAGAATCCGGAACTCACACCCAGTGCATGTTTGGTTCCACATTAAGGTCCCTCTGGCCTTCAGTCTTTTCACTTTAGTTATCTCAGTGAGTTAGAATGCACAGAAAAAAATACTTGAGTTGTACATAGGTGTATTTTGTGTATTTGTGCGTGTGTTTCTGTCTGTTCTGTTGTCTAAAAATCTATTTAACACCTTTGGGAGAATCTCGGGCAAGATTTACCTACTAGTGGTTACTAGAAAGAAATGTTGCTTTGTTACTAATATATGTGTTTAAATTATTTTTATACACTATCTTTACATAATTATGATGTGTGTCTTTATCATCTCTGGGGGGGTAGGGGAAATTGCAAAATAAACTTTTATAGAAAATTTGGATTTGCTTTGCTTTGTTTTCCCTATTGACTCCACCAAAAACTGTTCTGATGAGACACTCTGTGATTTAAATCCTTCCTCGCCCCTGAGAAAGCGGGGACCCTGCAGAATTGCCCTTGAAGTGGGGGAAAGGGGACAGGGGAGGGGAAGGGATCAGAAGGAGCCATGGGAAGATGCAGGAAGGGACAGAACCGATCGCAGAGGTGACAAGGTTGTACTTCCGGCTGCAGAGGCCTGTGCCGCCACTAGTTGGCGCCCCGTAGCAACAATAGGCCTACTCAGCCGGATGGACTCGGCATTCACAGTGTGTTTTGGGCTTCAGGGGCTCAGCCTTTCTCCAGGAAGTGCTTGGCATCCCAGTGCTGCCTCTGGCCTTTTTTGAAGAGCAGTTTCTCCACGGTGGTTTGCAGGGTGGGGCGTGGAGAAAAGCCACCTTGAGAAGGGAAAGCCGACAGTGGCTGTACTGTGTGAATGAGGTCTAGGGCAGGTGTCTCTGCTGCTCTGGAACTTACTGGCTGCTACAAAATAATCCAAACAAACCATAAACTTGGTGTGACACGTTTGTCCCGCAGATAATCAGTATTTCCGTCTGCTGTGTTTTCCTTTCTGGGTGGGACTGGGAAGTGTTAACTGGACACACCCCAGGGGGCAGTTCTACTAATCACACCTGGGCTCTCCTTTGGCAAATGTCCTGGATCTCTAGGGAAACTGAGGCAGGGATGTGCACTAAAAAGGCAAGTTTCCTTCCCTTTTAAGGGATGCAGGGCCACAGCCAGCCTCTCAGACAAACCGGCATGTTGTAAGGCCCAAGCCACTGACTGAGAAGCCACTTGCTGAATCCAATGCACTCTGGAGGGTTTACTCAAACCCACGCCTGCCCATGTGTTCCCTGGGCTTGAGGTAGAGTCTGGATGTGTTCTCAGATTCCAAAGCCTCCTGTCAGGAGATGCAAGCCTGTGGCTGGAGCTGGGGAGTAGGCCCTTCCCCCAGCCTCCACTTCTGTCCTCCAAACAGTGCCCCCCCACAAGCCCCCCTTCTCCTGCATCTACACCTTTAAGAAATCTGCCTAAGGGGAAAACCACTGGCTAGGCCCAAAGATTTAGCTGCAAGGATGCTTATTATAAAGTTGTCATGCCCCCAAACTAGAAACTAACCTTATTGCGCAGTGGTGGGGCCTTAAAGACAAGGCTGTCCTTCGAGACTTGACAGCCCCTTCTCTGCTTCAGGAGTGTTTGTGTGCAATCCTGTCACCACCTGCAACTCTTTTTTTTTTTGGTTGGTCATGGGGCTTGAACTCTGGGCCTGGGTACTGTCCCTGAGTTCTTCAGCTCAAGATGGGCACTCAAGCACTTGAGCCACAGCGCCACTTTCAGTTTTCTGGTAGCTAATTGGAGATAAGCGTCTGGGCTGGCTTTGAACTGCAATCCTCCTATCTCAGCCTCCTGAGCAGCTAGGATGACAGGCGTGAGCCATCGGCGCCCGGCTCCACCTGCCACTTGCTTTCTGCACTTGGGATCAAATTCTGTAGGTGGCAACAGGATGCTCATGGGGGTACAGGCCCCTGAATTCTTCTTTTGCCTCCGACCTCTTCCAGGCAGCTGGGGCCTGGCTTGGGTGGCGAGTTCACAGAAACAGGCCTGGCGTGGTGCCCTGGGGGACACAGACCAAGAGCCATCCCGCCCAGCCGAGCCTGGCATCAGGGTGGCAGGTGAAGAGCTGCTGCCCCTGCCCTGCCCCTGTCCACGCCGGGCCCTCTGGAGCCCTCAACCCTCTGCAGGGCTGAGGACCTGCCTTCATTCAGGAATGTGTCTGAGAGGTCACGGCCTCCCGTCCTGCGTGCTTTGACCCTGGCTCCTGTCCGCCCTCTGCCCTACAGTACCTGTGGCTCTTACAAGGTCCCCAAGGGGTGTACTTCAATGAAGAAAACCCGGGCTAAACGGCTCTGCGGGCCTAGCTGGCCACGGGGGGAGGGGAGATGTATTCTGGACGGAGTAAAATGGAGCCGGTGGTGGCTTCTGCCCACTCCCCTTTAGTTTTGCCTGGAGTTTCTGGCGCTATCGACACAGTGAAGCTCAGCTCAGTGGGGGTGGGGACAGGCTGGTTCCAGACCCTTCCAGGAGTGCCGCACAAATGACAGGAAGAGCAGCCTGTGTGGGTCTGATGATTCTAGAACAGAGCCCACACAGGACACTGCCACTGCCGGCACCTGAGCCCTCTTGCGTCAGGACAAAGCTGAGGTCTCTGCGTGGCGCGGCGGCGCAGGGACTTGGGGCTGGCACAGAGGAGCTGCGCACGTCATGGCAGCTCAGGAGTGGGGCCGGGAACACGTCTGCGTGGCTGACACCTGCCAGCTTTCCATCCACGCTCCTCCCTCGGGTTCTCGGCCCACACAGCCCGGGTCAGCACAGCCCGGCTCAGCTGTGAGCCCCTTGGTAATGGGATATGTAAATGTGTGACTGTTTGCCTGCCCGGATGGCAGATCTATTCTCCAGGCAAAGCAATTTACAGCAAAATATGCTGTAAATATTTGTTCAGCCCAGGAAAATGACTTTAATTGCATAATTAAGCTCGTTGTAGACTGCATGGGGACGGAGCGAGGGGCGGGGTGGGGAGGGAGGGCGGGAGCTCACAGCTGTCCCGTGGAGTTTATTGACAGCTCCACAGAGCGCTGGTAACTTGGAGGACAGACAGCACAGCGCGGATGAAGGAGGGAGGGCAGGGGCGGAGTGGTCCCCAGCCTCTGACAGATGGCCAAGGGACATGAAGAAGCTCCAGGCAGAACCGAGGGCTGGCTTCCATGTGCCTCCTGTTCATCTGCTTTCTGTGGACAACACTAACCTGAGCAAGTGACCCGCTTGCTTCACCGGAAAAATATCAACACTGTTGAAAAGAATTTACTTAGGGATTAAAAAATAAAAGGAAGACATCATGGCAGCCACATCCTGCGTTCTTTGCCAAAGCGACCCCTCGGGCAGAGTGGCCACCAGCAAGCTCTGCTGGGATGTATTTCAGTCACATGTCCAGGCTGGCCAGCGTGGAGACATAGAACACAAGCCCGGACGGGGGGGGGGGGAGGGAAGGGGTCCTAAGGAAGGTCCAAAACAGAGGCCCCACCCCTTTTGGGGGTGATGGAAACAGCCCCAGAGTGAGGTCATGGTAACGTTTCTGTGCGTTTATAAAACACCACGGAACTGTGCGTTTTTAATGGGTGAGTTTTATGATACGGAAATCATCGTTTTATAAAGTTGTTTATAAAATCCAAGAGAAACCAAAGTTCGTTTAACTTGCTTGGCACGGTGAGCTGGAGGCCAGCATGCACCTGCAGGAAGGTCGCTGCCTGCTGGACCTGGGCCTCCAGAGCCCATTGTGAGCACCTAAGTCGTTGCTCCAATACCCAGATGAGAGGCAGAGCCTGCGAAAGTCCTGTGTCCAGCCGGGCGCCGGCGGCTCATGCCTGCGATCCTAGCTCCTCAGGAGGCTGAGATGGGAGCCTTGAAGTTTGAAGCCAACTCCAAACAGGAAAGTGTGTGAGAAGCTTATCTCCAATGAATCAGCAAAATGTCAGAAGGAGAGGCGTGGCTCAAATGGTAGAGCACTAGCTTTTGAGAGACAAAAGCTAAGGATGAGTGCTCAGGCCTTGAGTTCAAGCCCCAGTACCGGTACATGTGTGTGTGCACGCATGCATGCACACACGCGTGGGCACACACACGCACACACACACAAACACAAAGTCACTTGGCCAGCTGGTCTTAGAGCTTCTGGGACACACTGGCCTTGAGCCATGACCGTGACCCCAGCTGGACGCCCGCTTGGCGGACATGACCCCACCAGAGCTGCTGCCAGCCCCTGGAGTGGGACAACTTTCAGGACTGGGCCTTCACCCTGGGCATCTTCGCCGAGCCTGGCCTGACAGGCCATTCTCTGCCAAGGCTCTAGGTCCAGATGAGTGGACAGAGGCCTGGACAAGCCCTGGGGACCGGTCTGGTCCAGTTGGAGCCTCTGGGGCTGAAACTAGCCGTGGGATTTGACCCTGCCCCGGTCCTGTGGGTTAATAGAACACTCTGCTCTTGGAGGTGAACTTGGGTCTGGCCTCAGTGGGTGCGGGGCTGTGGCTGTCTGAAATGTTGGCAAGGGCTCCATCCCCGTTAAGGATGGAGGTGAGGAACTGGGGTCCTATGACAGCCGCTCCCGCTTTGTGAAGAGGAGCTCAGGGCCATTAGCTGATAGGAGATGAAATTTACATTTTGAATTCACGCGGATCATCAGAATGCTTCTTTCCGACCCAGGGAAATTAAACACCACGTTGGAGGGAGCTGTGGGCAGGAGAGGCAAGGGCTCAGCCAAGCGTGCCAGATTGGCTTTTGCTTCTTTCTTTCTGCTGTAGGCAAAGGGGATGGGAGGACACGGCCGCAAAGTCAGCTGGGATGGAAAGAGAGGTGGGGAGCTCAGATACTTGGACTGTTCTGTTTCCTTAGGCAAAAACACAATAAATCTGCGTGGCAGAATTAAATTCTGATCTGTCCGATTTCCTCCACCGCACCCTCCTCTAATAATGGTTATTTATTGAGCACTTATTATGTGCCTGTCACTTAGCTAAGCACTTTATAGATAAGGCAGAAGTGCATTTGTCTTCTCAGTCTATCCTCCCCCGCTCTCTTTCCTGCGAGCGTGGTGGGGAGGGAGGGATAGTGTCTTAGGAACAGCACTGAGCTTTGTTGGCAAGTTTGATTTCTCTTTAGCTGTAACTCTAGGGAAGCCAAGCCCCCTAAGGGGTCCTGGAACAGTGCAGTGGGTTCTGCTCCCCTATCCCAGGGTCTAGAACTCTCTGGAGGGCACATGTCCTCTCCCGACTGCCCCATGAGCATTCCAAGTGCGGAGAGACCTGTGGGTTGGGACAGGGGCTCAGGGGAAATGGATGGGGGCTTGGCTCTTCCTCTAGCATCTGAACAAGTCTGTGGTCAACCCCTCTGGAGATTTCCCTTCCTGGAGAGGGGAGGATCAAG